GGATAAACTCCAAACAGCAATAGTTTATGTAAAAAGACTTAGTTCCATTTAGATTACATTATCTAATAACACAGATATTTTTTAACCTAGTATCTGAAGTTATGGAAAGGAATTCCTGAAAAAATATTGTTTTCCTACAGGTGGGTATAAAAAGCTGTCTGCATATCTGTAGTTTAAGACCACCTTGACTTTTTCCATTCCCACTCCTGTCTCTCCTGGCAGCAGTAACACAAAAATTACAAAAAACAGCTCTTTAAAATATCTCAGTGAAGAACTGAAATGCACATACACCTCAGCAGTAAACATGAAGACCCTACAGAAAAGAGTTCTCCAGTCACCTGAAACCCACTGTAGCTCTGCCAGAGCGGGGTTACAAAAAAAGGACAAAATATCCCTTGTGAACATTCATCATACATTTTAAAATACTGTTTTTAACTTTACTATTCTCAGCCCTCCAGAGCTGCTCAAGTGTGCTTTGATTACGGTTCATAAATCAGTCACTGACGAATTTCCAGTTGTAGTTTATTAGAGATAATTGCAGAAGGAACAGCTTGACTTTTAGAACCAATTAGGCAATCACAATACACAGATCCACTTCTTCCTTTATTTTTTAAAATCAATCACCCGTGATAATTTTATAGCAAAGTGAAAACAAGCATTTGAGAGAAAGCTCATGAATACTAGGGAGGCCCATCTTAACTAGGCAGATGATACTCATGGCAAATAAAGTACAAGGAAGCACGTGCTGAGGACTAGCAGGAGCTACTGAAGCACTTTTGAGTTTGAAATTGGTATTAGCAAGGAGGAAGAAGCAGGGTATCAGAGCAACAGCATGAGCGTTATTTCATACTAGGTATTTAAAAGCTAGCCTCTTCAGTGACATAAATACATGAGAACAGAAAGGAATTAAAACCACCTCTTTGCTTTCTGCCTTGAAAACTTCAGTTGCAATTATCAGACCTAAAAGCAGGAGGAAAGCGAGCTCCGACAGTCTGAGCAGAGGCCCAAAACAACTCAGCTTTACTCTCCAAAACAGAGTACTCAAAGAAGTATGCAATAAAATGACAGAGAACATAACGGAATGGAGACTGAAAGGTAATTAAGCTCCTGTGGCTAATTCACAGCTAGCTATAAAGTGAAAGATTACAAAAAGATTAGTTAGAAAGCATTGCATCAGTTTTTACACAAGCCAGTCTGTGGCACAAACCGCTAAAAGAAATTATCTAAGCATTTAGGATTCAGGAGTGTTTCTATGGATAAACATTTGCAATTCACCAATGGTGATTAAAAAAAGTATACGTGGATTGTTTTAAAACATTAAACCTGAAACAGATCATTGGTAGGTTAAAGCCCAACTTTCTTCATAACCTGATTAAAAAAGTACCTAATACAGGAATTCAGAAACAGCACATTCTTTAGTGCCTTCACTAGTACACAGGCTGTAATCACAGTGCTCTATGGAAACACATTCAGTAGCAGGAAGATGTAAAGTGGAAAAAAGACAATGCTCAACACTTAACAACTTAAAAAATTCAGTCATGGATGAGATGACACTGAGTGCAACAAAACACCATAAAATAAAACCAAGTTAACTTCTCCCCACCCCCCTTAGGAATTCTCTACACTGTTAAAACACTTTTATCAGAACATTTTCACAGAGTATTTAGCAGATTTTTTTATTATTTATTTTTTATTTCAGAAAGTTAAAGGCATAATTTAAATACCTCTTCAAGTTTCTACCCATCTGACACTAAAGAAAGTGTTAAAAAGGTCACAGCAGTTTATTTTGCAGGATTTTTCACTTAAGAGCTCTGCTGCCACCACAAGGATACAGAAGATGAGAGAATCTAAAACTTCAGCTTTCTAAAAGGTTAACATAACATGCAGCAGCATACAGTCAAGCTGGTTTGTGCCTGTGGCTTTTGAGGGCTTTTGTTATCTAATTGAATAGTTTTATTAATGCACTCAGAATGGCTGCATTAGTAATGCCCGCCAACTTTTGTCACAGAAATACAATACATCCCCGTTCTCAAACTAAGTATTTTCACATTGTTTTAGAGTGCTTTACTGGACAAATTTGGGTACTATTCTGCCAAAAAAAACACAGGCTGCCTTCATATCATCAGTGAGTGAAATATGAAATACCGACTTTCAAGTCCATCATTGGCCAAGATCAGATACTATCCATATCGTTACTGTGCAAATTCACAATGTTCAGCTTCTGGAGACGTAAAGGTTCTCCCAACCATGGTGTCCAAGCACTGGAAACAAAGGATTCAGGAAGGCTGGGTGCAGATGGAGGGTTAACAGCTAAAAGTAACCTGGGTTGCATCTCATGGCTCTCGTTTGCTGTCAGTCACCCTCACACACTGTTTCACGTAATTCCATGTTCTATAGTTAATATGTACATACCACAGAATGATTAATGCACATTGATGACTTGATTGTGTGGCCATACTGCTGATCAAACAGCACAATTCCATATTTTCAGTCTCAGACATATGTGTAGCCTGGAATCTAAGCATTTGATCAAACTTCAACAAAACACATAGGTAAGCATGCATGAAGCTTCACAGCCGAAGAGCTGAAAGAGCACCTGATAGAGCAGTCATCAAGAATCCCGGCTCTGACCGAGACGCACCTTTCCTGTGTTCATTAGTCCTTTCAAAGAGTGCACGTGGAACGGACAAAAAGCATCTTTGGCAAAGAACAGACTCACTGCAGATGCTAGTTACCATCTAATCACAATTTGTATCCCAAGCAAAAAACACTGGGGAAGAGTGCTTGTAGCTTCCTGACATCCCCAAAGGCCACTTCTACTCTATTTTTTTAAGATAGTTTTGTACTAGAAGCACAGTGTAAATACCATGTTTCTATAGACGCACAACTTAAAGTCAGGACCACCATGTGGTGGTACTTTTTTGTGATGACATTTCAAATCACGTGAAGTGACAACATGACAAGTGAGAACACTTACTAAAATTGCACATTTAAAACGGAGATTCTGAAGGCAAAAAAGCAAGGAATGAAAAACTTTGTAGTTTGGGTTTGTTTTTTATTTTAAACGTATTAAATGTGAGCTGGCAGTTGTGGTACTTCAATGCCCACGGGAAAAAGAACAAAACCCAAGGGGGATGCTGAATTTTATTTTTTTTTTCCTTTTTAAAATTCAGCTGCTGTCTCCTTTTCTCTTGCCGAATCTTTCATTTTAGCATCCACAAAGTTCCTTTTTTTTTTTTTTTTTTT